TGGGAGCATACCACGACGAAGTGATAAATCAAATATTCTGTTGGTCCGAAGTGAGTTTGGTTGAGCTGTTAGGTCCTCGTCAAGAGGCTCGTAGGGATTCCACAAAATATTCTTATCTCTACACAGAAGCTTATGAGCACTCTTGGGACTGAAAAGAGTTGGCTTTCTGGACATAGTATCCAGCATAGTTGGCCGCACTGAAGGATACGGGCAAACAGGGATATTGACATGCTTCATTCTGTTACCAAATACCGCCGGTATGTGATCCCCTATCCAGCCAATCAGATAGTGGCCAGGCCAAAGCTTCCTCAAAGATGCAGGATTAATAGGCTTGGTGCTAATAAGCCTTAAAGAGTAATATAAAGAACACAAAGCAGGTTGTGCCAAAGCAAATTGGCGGCCCAGAGTCATCCATGAGGCTGTCACTAGTACACCTGGTCGAATATATGGCCCCCCTCCAACAATCGCGAAGCAACATATCCAGAGTGTTAGGAATGCAGCAGTATAGATATTGGAGAACTCACTGCTATCAAAACCCGAAAGATTTCCTGGGGTGCAATGAAAGTAATCGCACCACTTTTGGAAAGTAACTTTTCCTCCGTCCTCAAGTTTGCGCCATGCCCTGTAGAGAGGCAGTAAAGTCTTTGGATACAGCAGCATAGCTGGCTCCATGTAAGCACGAGATGGAATGAATTCGTCATAAGGTTCCCCATCCAGTGGTAAACCGGCCATGTTCTTCATATCTAAGAGGGTGATTGTACGCTCTCCGCAAGGGAATACGAAGGTGTTCGCAATCGAGTCCCACCTCTCCAGTAGAGCTCTTACCACGGAGGGGGATATAGGGTATTTTCCTAAGGAACAGAAGATTGCCCCATAAATATAATCCTTGCCCGGCTCGCTTCCCTTGAGATGAGATGAATGATTAGTTAAAACCCTGGCAGCCCATTCATGATAACCATTAGGCATTGGGATGTGCTCTATCTCAAAATTTGCCCATCCAAAATCACCTAACACCACTCGGCTGCCCAAAGGTGAGGCCGTATCAGATCGAGGTGTAGGTGCCAGTGTGTGAAGAAAACGGGCTAGAAAATGAGGTTGAGATCTCCACGCACGATTGGGATTGGAAAAATTAAAATCCCCTTCGACCTGTTGTTCTTCCTTGAGAGCAGGGCATGCCGTTTCATTATCAAGGGGTTCATATGGTTGCAGTTTTGCCACTTCGTACAGAGGCGTCATATGAGGAGGAGAAGGTAGTGGCGCGTCATCCATCTCCCTAAAGGAAAAAGGATGGAATAGGTGGATGCCGTAGTGCAATCAGATCCACAAGGTAACTCAAAGCATAAATCGATATAAACATATGGTACTGAGATAGATACGTACGAAAAAAAAATTGCATTCGCACGGCAAACAAAAGTCAAGCAGTGGCTGCACGAAAGCCGCGATCAAAACGATAGACACCAGGCTAATAATAAAAAATCAATCAAATTATTTACATTCCAAATGCTGAAGGATACTAATCGGCGTCGTATATGATGATTATGTGGAGAGATAATAGACAAACAGCACCATCGTACCTTCGGCACCGGTGCCGTCGTACGTCGTAGCGGTGAGCGGATACTCATCCACCAAAACTGAAATTCTTCAAGGCCCAATCCTTGACGATTGTAAAACAGAAAGAAACCAAAGGATTTAGGAACACCATAAAGACATCTGATGAAATTAAGGAAAGAATGGGAGAACCTCGTTTGGTTGAGCAAGGCGAGTCTCTGTTGCCGTGGAAACCCAAAAGAGATCTATGAGAATCCCCGTAGACCCTGGTTGGGAGAAGCGAATAACTAACCCCTATGTTGAGGCCAATATCCCACTACTTCCTATAATCTTGGGGATCAGGCTCATTCGTGATATATGGCCCAGAAAGCCAGAAGCGTGCAAGAGGATAAGTGCAAAAAAAAAAAAAAAGAAAAAAAAAGAAAAAAAACGTGCTCATCCATGAGCCTAAATGGTACGAAAAAAGATGATTTATTGCAACACGAGCCTAAACTGTTGGCATAAAAAATGCCCCCCGATGCATCTTCAATGCATCATGAGTTTAAACCGAATGCAAAAAAAAAAAAATCCAAAGTTCTTAAAATTAAACTGCGACCATGGAACGAACATTTAAAATGTTATGTCCTCCAAGAGTCTGACATAAAGATCAATATAACGTGAGACTATACGTCATTGCTTGATAAATATCATTTATATGCGCAAATCTCCGTATGAATCAAGTGCCCCAAAATATGTTTCTAAAAAAAAAGTGAGATCATAAATAAATAAAAAAAATCTTAAGTTTCGAGCTCTGGATCCGTTAACATGTACGAAGTAGTTTTCGCATCCGGACCTCGAGGGGGCATCTGTTGACACCAATTTTGGATCTATCCAAAATGTGTGAGAATATTTATACCATACTAAATAAAATAATATAGATGGTCAAATTCCATTTAAATATGGTATGGTGTACATAATAGTGAAATAATATGTCGAAAAGGAAATAGAATTAGTATGATATAATATATTTTACGACGGCATAATCTACCATGTAAAAGTGACGTGGTGATATATGTATTAAAAAAGAGGGAGATAAGTAGTGATGAAAAAAAAGAGAAGGAGCTGAGGCACGGATATGTCAGCTTCTTGGCATGTGCTTACAAATGGATGCCTTTGATTACTGAATGGCAGTATTGATAATAGAAAAATAGTGGATGACCGACACTCCAGCCAGCAAGGCAAAGAGAATGTATTTGCCTCTAGAATAACCGATTAAGCATTCGCGCGGCAATTCAAAGCCATGGCGCTTCCACTCAAATTCAAATTAGCATGACTAAGTCCAATCACCGTTTCAAGAGTCCTCCACGCACGTACTGCATGTTCTCATGAACTCGCGGTCACAATTCAAACTCTCGCACGGCGTCATTAGCAAAAGGAAAATTAAAACAAAGGAGCGCCAAATCTCTCGGCAAGCGTGCATCTCTACCCCTGGCATATAAATACACTATGCACGGCCAGCGGTAGAAGGCCCCCCCCTGCTCCATGATCGTAGTGCCTCCAGGCTGCCGCTCCATAGCCCCTGAAACAAACTGTCGTTAGGCTGCGCAGCACCGCATGCTGCTCACCGCGCTCAAGCGCCCGCTCACCGTTCAAGCGGAAGGCCACCGAAGCATCGCCACTAAGCTGCAACACCTACCAGCAAAAGCTGCTGGTTCTGTTCGTCGGGTTCCAAGAGAAGAAGGTGAGAGGCTGCATGGCGCTTCTCTAGTCCCTACCTCCTGCTTCTCGTCTTGGCTAATGCGTCCACGAGCTTCATCAGCAACTCGCGTCGGCATCGATGGCGGCAGGCCTATGTCATTGCGGATGGGCGGTGCACGTAGGTCTTACCCCGTAAAAGGTAAAAGAAATGGTGATGGTTGCGCTACGCGCATGGGCTGCAAGCCACAGTAAAAGATCGCCAACAGGTGCCATGACGCGCTTTGCGCATGGGCAATATGCCCGGTGAAGGTGTAAAAAGGCAGCAAATATGCCTCGGTGAAATGCGGGTTTGGATGCGTTTTGGCTCCACCCCGGTTACGTTCATGGTGAACTTTCGGTTGGACGCGATCTTGGCTCCAACCCGGTTAAAGGTTCATGGTACAAAATTGGTGGACGCGCTTTGGCTCCACCCGGTTCATGGTAAATTTGATATGGACGCGAATCGGCTCCATATCTAAACAAATCTACATGTGTTTTGGCCACAGCAATGCCGGCCCATTCATATCATGCATCAAACAAAATAAAGAACTTGCATGTTACTGCCATGAAGAAAGATCATGCATCGATTTCTATCAAATCAAAGAAACAATCATATGTGCAAATGAAACTATATAAAAAAACAAGACACTAAAAACGCACCGCATATTCAGTCCATTAGCTAGGCATGCATATCATGTAACGTGCCATTATTTCTGGCCAGCATCCGTTGTTTACACAAACCTTTGCATGATGCACAGTCATCAAGGATCATGTATCGACATAATCAAGTCATAAATAAACAAAAGAAAAAGGTTGTGCATGTTATGCTTCGTTAGCTAGCACCTCCCTTGCACAAGCCCAAAACTTGTCTTGCATGCCTCGCTTTGCATGTACAAAGTGACATAATCAAATTAAAGTACCAAAGTGCCGAACAAACCAAGATGCTAAGTTAGTGTTGCATCAAAACTGTCACATCTGCCTCACCATGCAAATAGAAGCAAAGGCTAGCGTAAAGATTGCATGCATCTTGCATCTTAATTATATTGCATTCACCCAAAACAGGTGGATTTAAATAAATAAGAAACTGAAGAAAATTAGTTTCTTCGTGCCAAATACCATGTCATGACCGCTAGTGCTAATTAGCCTACTGCAGCGCCTTGGTATAATAAAATAACTAAATGTTACAAACACATGAACTTAGCCCAAACTAAATAGGCTTTGTCATGTTCATCATAATTTCCACACATGTCATCTATGCCCGGCATAGGCTCTCCAGGCCAGGTGCGAGCATCATGAGTAAATTAAATGTTACATCTTAGCTGATTGCACCCATAGAGGTCATGTTTAGCTAAGTCATTAGAATATATCAAATTAATAGCATCGTGCCATACCATGAGTATGCATGCTAAACTTGATAAAATAAATTAATTGCACGCACCTCGGCTGAGTCGATGATGCAAACATTTCTTTCTAGGCCATGGTAAAATAAATACTTTGACTTAGCTCAAATGAAAGATTGCACTATATGCTGAATATATCCATGAACGGGCATCTAAAAACATGCTAAATCATGATCTTAAATGATCCAAAAAGACATCAAATTTAGTGCGCAAAGTAAATTGCATGCATACATACATGACAATGCACCAAAGAAATGTATCACTCAAACAAAACAGTTTCTCTTAGCTGACATAAATGTGTGTTGCACCACATAGTGTATAAATTAAATACATGTATATCATGGACTGCTAAGAAGCTAAACACGCTATCAACCAATCATATAAGGAATATATGTTACTCCTCGACAAATGAACTCGTGTCATGTTTAAATAAAATGACATGCATCAAGTTCAAGTCTATGCCAAGCATGCACATTCATATATCTACGACTACAAGACCAAGACTTTGTTTTCTTTTGTAGTTTGTAACAGAAGCCATATGATGTAATCTTATTTTCATGTACTCATGTTGGAACTCTTAATCAGGGGTGTTCTCTTCGGAGATGTAATTAACATAATTTTTATGCAAATATAAGAATTATGGAAGTATGGACTTGCAATACCTGTTCTTTTTCTTTTGTTCCAATTAAATTTAACCAAAATCAAATTTGTATCTGCTGACGCGGAGGCGGGTCATAGCCACCCGTTTCCCCGCCATCAAGCACCACTTGAGAACTACATGGTAAGCCTTTCGAACTATGTGTTGCCACACTTTTACTTCATAAGTACATTGTAAAGATGATTATGCATGCACTGTAGGCAACTTAGCTAGCTTACCTTTCAAACAAGGCTGGAGTGTATCTTGGACATGCAGCGGGGACCAAGGTTCATACCTTGAAAGATTTAGCATAGGTACTACCCCTAGCTTTAATTGTTTTCCAATGTGGCAAGAACGATATATCACAATTTCTCATTCTACATGACATGTTTGCAGAAAGTGATGAAATCGTGTCGACGCATGGCTCGAAAGTTGAGTTGCATGAAAGCGGGAGATGTACAAGTGCCACATCCCCAACCACATGCAACACGACTAACCTGTTCAGGAAAAGGGAGCCCATTGACACACCTAGACCCTCCCGTGGACTACATTAGGGGCGACAACGCGACGACAACTAATTAGCGAGACCCAAGTTATCATCAAGGCGAGTTGATGAGGTCACAACAACCTAATGCTCCTTAACCTACATAGACTTAGGTTCATGATCCACACCTTCATTCCCTCAAAAAAATAAGCACACCTTTCATTGACACCAAACTTCAAAGTCGTGTACATGATTCCTATGTTTTGTGTAGAGTTCATCCCAATGCTTGCGCCGAGGTGAAGGACGAAACGTGCGAGGACGTGCCCATGACCGCTCTGACGTCGGCACTCCTAATGTCTTTCCCACAAATCCAGGCCACCAGCATCGTCCTCGACACCCATACACGTCCAACGTTTGAATTGCTTCCATCTTATGTTTACTATGTGTCAACTATGTGTGAACTATGTGGATGAGAGTCTATGTG